TCTAAATTACTAAATTAAACTACTTCTTTTTTTTTTTTTTTTTCCTTTTCATTCGAAACACGAATGAAAAGCAAACACGAGAGAATTCTATCAAAGAGAAAGGATTATTTGATAAATTCATATCAACTAAATTAAGATTGTGCATCGGCTATCACGATGCTTCCGGTTTGCCATCGAGCCCTGGCTATAACTTTATTTGACCGAGAGCAAATATTTAAGCTTTTTCTCCCCTCAAAATAAACGATAAACATTGAAGAAATGTCTTCTGGTGATCTTAAAAAAAAAAAAAAAAAAAAAAAAAAAGTCTTTTCTTTTCCGATAAAGTGAAATCACAAATAGAAATCGTATTTCATTTTTCTAGAATGTTTGAATTGACGATGAAAAGTATTTAAAATAGAGCACGTTCCAAAGCAACGAATTCAGAAAGAGTCGAAGTAAATTGCTACGATGCGAGTATCCAATTACGATTTCATTTCAGGAGAGTAGCATAGAAACCCGTTCAAAATTACTCAAGCAAGCTTTCTTAGTATATACTTCTCCACGGTTACCATATACGCCTTACCATTTTAATTAGGTGAAATTCATAGCGAGCTACACGTTTCCAATGATACGCGATTGCGTGTTACTTAAATCATGGTATATTCACGTACGTAAATTTCTAAAATTGCAACACGATATTGAAGAGAGGGAAGAATCTTATTCAATATCTGTAATAGAAATTTTCGTCGATCGATCGAAATTGTCCAGAAATCGATGATAGATAACCCATCGATAAGGATGCAATTTAGCGAAATCGTATCGAGAAGGCATAACAAGAACTCATATAATTTCGAGCAATAGTATTATATTCGATCGAAGGTCCGTATCGAATATAAGCAGCACGATTGTTTCGAGAATTAATTTCGAAATAATCATCAGGCCACGCGAGAAGATTTCGAATCTGAAAAATTTTCGGAAAATTTAAAGAAATTCCAAAATTTTTTAACTAATAAAAATTCACACAAGAATAAAATCATCATCGAAATATATAACAGCAGAAGGGTTGAATAAAAGATTTATTAACAGGGGATCGAGTTATCCTAAAGAGGCTATGGGTTTTCGCGGATACCTTCCAGTAAGCTATCGTAGCTATTACGCTATTACGACCTGGGGGCCACTAATGGGGCCCATGCTGTGCACGAAGGAATCACGTTACGTACGCATGCGGCTACGGTCAACTGTGTACACGCGCGTACAGAAAACGCGTAGTCATGCACCTCGCGTCGCTGCGTTTATTGCATACACCCATCCAATCCGGCCATCCACTGTGCTCTCCATGCTGGAAGAAACGGTTACACACGAAATACAATACTTTCGGTACGTGACGTTCGAGCAAGCGGCTGCATTTACGGCCA